GCGGGTGCGTCCCAGGGCCCTAGGACTAGGGCCAAAACAGCGGCGGGCAGCGTGCATGCCACAAAACAAGACAAGCGTGTACAACATACACACATGGTGGCACGGGCGGCAGAGGGGCAGGGGAGTGCACTCTTCACAATGCGTACGCGCCGAATAGGGCATGTACGGCATGTGTCGGCCACCGCCGAAAGTGTGCGGAAAGGGAGACAGACCTCGCGCACAAGGACTGAGGTGACCCCGCACTGTGGTGCTGGGTTGGTCAGCAATGGCCTGGGGCACGGCGCAAAACTGATTTTCGCGACACCCCCATGCACAGCCCCAGCCAATTGTTGTGCTGAGGCTCCAACCCTGTAGCACGAAGGATCAAGTTTTACCTTGCTGCATATGCACGCCATTTCTAGATCGCAGAGAAATTCGCACACATACTGGCTCATTACGTCCTCGCTCAAGCGCTGTTCAATTAACGACCGTCTGCCTGCCGTCTGCCTGCGTTAATTCAGCACTGAAGAATTCAACCACCGATGCAAACAGGAAACTACGATCCTACAGACTTGCATGTCGCTCAACATTGGAGTATAATTCTGCTCAGCGACCGAAACCTCAGCTCTGGTGCCAACAACGTCTCTTAGCAGAAAGGCAAGTACTTTCAAGTCTCGTGCAAGCCCGTCCAATACTTCATGCGGCAACTGACATGGTCGACCACCTCTTTGTCAACGTCAACCTTCAAGAACGCGCCTGTGGTGGACACGGCAATCTTGACGCGTATCGCTGCGGATGCTGAATTGTGGACTCCTACATAGATCTACAGGGAGAACCCTGGATGATACCCAGAAGGACAGATGCAGGCAAACTGACGGACGAGGCAGAACGGCGAGCAGAAACCTTACGGGGAAGTTTGATGATGACGACAACAACCAGCCACCTAGGCACAACGCACTCTCGTGCGCTGGACGCAAATACACATATATAGACATGTATAGATAGATGGGCCCGAATAGGCCAAGTGCGGCGCGTGTCGGCCACCGCCGAAAAAGTTGGAAAAAAGAGAGACCTCGCGCACACGGACTGAGGTGACCCCACACTGTGGTGCCGGGTTGCTGAGCAATTGCCTACTGGTTTTTACGACACTCCCATGCATTGCCCCAGCCGGTTGTCGCGCTGCGGCTCCACTCAAGCAGCACGGATGATTAGATGTTACCCTACTGCATGTGCACACAACTTCTGGATCTCAGAGAGATTCGCACACAGAATTGCTCGACTCATTACGCCCTCGCTCAAGCGCTATTCTGTTGACGACGGGCTGCCTTCAATAATTCAGCACGGGGAATTCAACCAGCGATGGAATCAACGTTCTAGGCATGACCGGAGACTACGGTCTTCCAGACTTGCAGGTCGTTCAACATTGGAGGACAAGTATGGTCCGCACAGCGACCAGCACGCGCATGTGGTGCACACGGCAGGCTTGACGCGCATCACTGCGGATGCTCAATTGTGGGCCACTACATAGATCTACTGGGAGAACCCTGAATGGCACCCCAAAAAACAAATACAGGCAAACCGGCGGATGAGGCAGAACGGCGAGAAGAAAACCTTAAGAGGAGTGGGAGGATGACGACAACAATCATCTCGGCACAATGCACACTCGCGCGCTGGACGGATGCATGCGCGCCCGACTAAGCCTTTTGCGGCACGTGTCGGCCACCGCAGAAAGCGTGCGGAGAGAGAGAGAGAGAGACCTCGCGCACATGCGCCAAGGTGACCCCGCACTGTGGTGCTGGGCTGATCAGAAACGGCCTGGGGCACGGTTAAACACCCGTTTGGACGACGCCCTTTCTCCACTGCAGAAGCCAGCTTTCGTGTTCCAGCCTTGCAGCACGAGGCATCGGCTTCTAGCCTCTGCATGTGCACACTCCTGGACCGCCCAGGGCCTCCGAGAGGGCCCCCCCCTGCTTTCTAAGAAGCCCCCCCGACGACTCTCTGTGGCTCAAAGACGGGGGCTTGAGGGATGGGGTCCTAGGATAGGAAACGACCCAAGGCTGGATCAACATCGTTTGAGGCCCTCAGTGGTCTCGACCCATACCCTGGGACCAGGTGTTCATCCTGAATCGTTTCGTTTTTGACGGTCCCGAGGCCTGGTAAGGGCCCCGAGAGGAGGAAGATAGCAAAAAACCTCCCGCTGTGGACTTGTCATGACTCGAGATGGTTGATCCCTTCCTATCCTCAAAACCCGTATGTTGCCTCTTCGGGGGACCTTATTTGTCCCGTCGCGCCCCTATCCGCGTCGAATCCGTATCGAATCCATGACTGGATCGTAGAGTCCGTGTCGAATCCGTGTCGAATTCGTGCCGAATCCACTTCAAATCCACATCGAGTCCCCATCAAGCCCGCGTCGGGCACAAGAGAAGACACCAATTTTTGGGGCAGACGATGTCCCCCGAAGGTGCAACGTAAGTGCCCCATCCCTCAGGACCCCACCGCTGAGCCACAGGTGCTCAGAAGGCCGGCCTCCCCCGCGCCCAAAGTCGCTCCCGCTCCGCAGGGGTACAATCAACGCGTACCCGTCGGTCGGAAAAAGTGAATAGAAACATGAAGTAGGAAGGCGTTGAAAGCAGATTAGGTTTCGCCCGCTCCCTGAAAGGGAGGAAGCAATAAGGACAACCGTTCGAATCTTGAATTAGGACGGAGCCTAAGGAGTATATTGGGATCTAGATATCCAGAAGTACCTTATTTCAGCGACTGGTGTGCACAGTCATCGTGCTACCAAGGGAACGCCACGTAGGGAACGAAGGGGCTTTCCCGAAAACGGCTGGCCTCGGCCACGAAGACGTTCCCCGACTTAGATCTGAGAGACAGCCCGAAAACCAGAACCCGTCCTGAGCCCGACGGGTTCCTTCTATCAGCGCCTTGACTGCATCATGAAGGTGCACGACAAGGATGCAAGGGCCTTGGAAGGCCATGTCGACACTTCTCGAGTGGGGCGTGGCCAGCGACAGTGGCCAAGGGCGGGCCGACGGGGAAGGATGCAAGGGTAAGCTTGGAACGCCGCTCATCCTTACTGTGCGCGTTGACTGTATAGCAACCACTACGAGGGGCAACGATGGGGGGGGACCAGCTGGGGGGAACATCGAGCTGGAGTCGACCTCGCGTTGCCGATAGATCGGCGATAGTCCCCCGATAGCAAATCCGCCCGTTCCTGGGCGGGGCGGGCTGATCGAAGCCCTATCAGTGGGCGATTGGGAATCGACGCGCCACCCTGAGCCTACCTCTCTTCCCACCGTTGCCCATTGGCTTTCGGGTCACAACTCGGGGCTTTTTCGGTGGCCGCTCGGGACGATCTGGCCACCCCCAGGACTTTGGAGTCCCGAAACGGTGCGGTCACGGACCGTGCGGTGACCTCGAAATCCCCCAATACATCACAGCACAGTGCGTCACCGCACGTTTTTGGGACCGTGGAAGCCCATGTCACCCGAGACGTCCTCGGAGAGGGACTCGAGTCCCAAAACCGTGCGGTGACCCCGAATCCCCAGCGACTCACCGCACGGTGTGGTCACCACCCCATGTGGGGCCCCCCAAAGGACGCTCTCGGCGGGGAGCAGCTGCGGGAACGCCCCCCCGGGGCTGGAACACTGCCGGGGGCCGACGGCGATGCCCGCGCCCGCCTTGAAGCGCCGAGCGCTCGGCGGGTCCGCCCCCGCCCCCCCCGCCCACCGCCGCCCCCGCCGCCGCCGCCACGACACCGCCACGACGACGGCGGCGACGGCGGCGCCGACGGCGACCACGACGGCGACGGCGAGACGACGGCGACGTCGACAACGACGGCGACGGCGACGTCGACGGCGACGTCGACGGCGGCGACGGCGGCGGCGAATGACGACGGCGACGACGGCGGCCGCGTCGCCGAGACGACGGCCGGCGGCGGCGGCGGCGGCGGCGGCCGCGCGGCCTCGGCGGGCCGCTCCCCGCCCGGCTCGGCGGCCGCCTCCGCGCCTGCGGGCGGCGAGGGGGCCCCGAGCCTCGGGCGGGGGGCCGAGGGGCCTCGGCCCTCGAGCCTCGAGCCTCGAGCCTCGAGCCTCGAGCCTCGAGCCTCGAGCCTGGGGCCTCGAGCCTCGCTCCTGGATCCCTGCTCCTGGACCCTCGGGCCTCGCCCTCGCGGTCCGAGCTCGCGCTAGCATGGGCCTGGCCCCTTTGGCCGCTCCCCGGCGCCCCACCGGCGCCCTGCCCCCCCCCCGCTCCCCTCTCCCCCCCCCCCTCCGCCCTGCTCCCCCTCCCCTTCCCTCGAAGAAGAAGAAGAATAAGAAGAATAAGAAGAAGAATAAGAAGAATAAGAAGAAGAATAAGACCGCCCTGCCCCTGCCCCACTTCTCCCCACCCCTGCCGCTGAGACCCTGCCTCCACCCCGGCCCCCCTTCGCGCCAAGCTCCCCGCCACACTGATCCGCACCCCCGCCCAGCCCAGACCTTCCCGTGTCCTCTCCTCCCCCCTCTCCGCTCCACCCCCGTCCTCCCCCTCTGCTCTCCCCCTTGCGTGCCTCTCTTGCCGCCGCGGTGCCGTATTCACCTTGGTGTCTGACTCGAGGGATGAAGCTCGTGGGTTATGAGTTGCAGAAAACAAGCTATCCGTCCCTCTCTCCCTCCTCACTTTCTGCCCTCCACTCTCTCGCTCCCCCCCTCCCCTCCTTTCTCCTCCACTTCCCCCCTCTCCTCCTCGCTCCCTCCCACCTCTGTCCACCACCCCTCGGCTAGAAAAGAGCATCGCGTAAACATACGAGTTCGACGGTCCACGCGGGTTTCTTGGAGCTGCCCTGGAAGCTCCCTGGCGCGCGGAGCGCTCCAGGGGCAGCGCCAGAGGGGGTCCAGCGCAGATCCAAGAAATCCGCGCGGAGCTCTAAACGTGTACGTATGTTTCTGCTTGTTTTTGCTATTCGTCTTCTTCTTCGATCACCCGCTCCCTTTCCCATCGTCTCCCGCGGCCGCTGCGAGACTTCCATGGCCGGAGCCGTATTAAAAAGCGCGTGCCGAACAGCGGCACGGACCCTCGCCACGTGCACGGGCGGCTCTGCGGGAACGCAGCGGGCACCCCTGGGCACGAGGGGCCAACGATTGGGCGGGGGGCGGGCTCGGGGGGGAGCGGACATCGAGCTTGCATCGGTGACGCATCGCCGATAGATCGGCGGTACAGTCACGCGAGAAGACACAAGGCCTTTCTGAGGGCCACATTGCCGTAGGAATGTAAGAAGGCATGGGTCGCGAAACTCAGGACACGAGGGTTCCCTCGATTTAGCTGGGTTGACCTACTAATCAGTCTCGACTGTAGGTCCCCGACAGCAGATCCGCACGGGCCAGGGCGGGGTGGGCAGTCGGCCCCCCCCAGCGGCGATGACTGGTGGGCCCCTGGAAGCGTCTCAGAGCACCTCGGCTGCCCTCCCGCAGGGGCGGCGCTGCCACGCGTGGAGCCCGCCCGGACAGCACAAAGAGCAGAGAGTGCCGCTCCTCACGAGCGGCGAACGCAGCCGTATCCTACGTAGAAGGCATCTATACACTACCACCGTGGCTGGCCAGGGCCATCCTGGGCCCTGGCATGGTGCATCAGCCTCCTGGCCGATGCCAGGAGGGCGTACACACCATGGTGGGGCCCAGGAAGGCCCAGGCCAGGCACGGTAGCGGCGTATAGATGCCGCATGCGGATATCTACGCCCTTGCGGTCCAAATTCCAAGGCGCGACCCCGCGGATACGCGGTCGCACGGCTGCGTCCCGCGCGGGGCATCCGCGAAGAAGCGCCCCATACCCGCGGGGTCGCGGCCCAGGGGCCCGGCCCGTGATGCCGCGGATACGGCTGTTCTTCGCCCGCGAGGCGCTGCCACGCATGGGGCCCGCCTGGACAAAACAAACAACTGGGAGCCCCGCCACGCTCAGTCCAAGAAATCCATCCCGCTCGCAGCTGCAGGCGCCGGCGCCGGCGCCGGGCTGGCGGTCTGCGGGGCAGGACGGGCGAGACGAGGAAGGGAAGGAGGAAACGGGGGGGATGAAGAGGATGATGATGATGAGGATGAGGAGGGCGATGAGATGACGAGGTGCAGGAGAGTGGAGAGAGGATAGGAGAGAGGAGGAGAGGAGAACAGAGGGGAAGAGAGGAAGAAGAGGAGGTGGAGGAGGAGAAGAAGGAGGAGGAGGAGTAGGAGGAGAAGGAAGGGAAGGAGAATAGGTGGAGACAGGAGGAGAAGGAGAGGGAGAATAAGGAGGAGGAGGAGGACGAGGAGGAGGAGGAGGAGGAGGAGGAGGAGGAGAGAGGAGAGGAGGAAGAACGGAGAGAAGACGGGAGGGGAGAATAATGAGGAAGCGGGGAAGCAGAGATGAAGGTACGAGAGGAGGATAAGAGAGGATCAGAGAGGAGGAAGTTCAGGAGGAGAAGAGACCGGCGCAAACCCAAGACTCATCAACGACGTTGCAATACGCCCTCCAAATTCCCTCTTCATAGGTGCCCCCAAAGACTTATTTTCACTGAAGGAGGCAATCCTGAGCCGTACGAGAAGACCAGTCCTCGACTTCACCGCCGCGAATCAACGTCACTGTTGCGCCCTGACGATCCTGAACCATGCCGGAACACCATTCCTGGGACTTCAACGCCGCGAATCAACGAGACTGTTGTGCCCTGACCGTCCTGCAGCGTGCAGGAACACGATCTGAGGGGCGTGAACCAAATTTTGTCTTTCAAACTGAAACATGTTTTAAAAACGAATGTGCGCGGCGTTCAAGTGATAACCACTTTTTAAAATTACCTGCCCTCCATCCGCGAAACGGCTGCAAACTTTTCACGCGAATGTGCGCGACGCTAAGGCGAGAACAATTTTGAAAGGACTCAACCAGGAAGCTGCAGCCAACATTTTAGACGATGTGCGTGGCGCGAATGCGAGGAACACATTTTGAACCGCATCCGCCCTCAATGCGCGAAGACTGATGCAAGCTTTTGAGACGAATGTGCGTGGTGCTCAAGCGAACACCATATTTTGAAAATGGCCCGCCATCCATCCGCGACGTTACTGCAAACTTTTAAATGAATGCGCGTGGCGCTAAGGCGAGATCCACATTTTGAAAAAGAACCGCCCTCCATCCGTGAAACGGCTGCAAATTCAATGCTCCAGGATCGTGAAATGGTGAGGAAGTCCCAGGCGAAACGCCTTGCCCGCCCTAGCGACACGTCTCGGGGTGCGACAAGGCGGAATTATTCATAATCCGCCAGCCCGACGGGCCAAAGGCGTGCTAAAATCTCATACTAGTTTGATACTGTTTCAATTCGCGCTCGCATGGCGGCCCTTGGGAGCCCCCGGAGCGATCAAGGAACGCCTCAAGGAGTCGCCAAATAGGTGGCAGGCCCCACGGCCTCAGGCCAAGAGAGTTCCAAGATGGCCCAAGTTGGTCCACAGGAGGACGCCAAGACGACCCCAGGAGGGCCCGAAGAGGCGACTTTCAAGGATTTTGCTTCGGCGTTTGACAGATTTTGGCGGTACCGCCTTTTCAAGCTTCCGGGCGCCCAGGATGGCCCAAGAGGCCTCCAAGATCGCTCCAAGCCCGCCCCAGAGGCTCAGGCCCTCGGACGGCCCAAGAGGACCCCAATACGGCCAAAGAGGCCTCCCCGGAGGGCTCTAGACGTTCCCATGATGGCCCCTAGACAGGACGCCCGAACAGACATACCGAGCCTTCCCCGCAGGTGGCCCCCCCCCCCCAGACCGCCAGCAGGCCCCCACAAGACCTTCAAGAGGGCCCCAGAAGCCCAGAAGGATGCCCCACGGGACCACCAAGAGGCTCCAGGAGGTCCCAAAAATGTTGCCAACAGGCCCCCGAGAGGCCCCCCAAGGGACCCCAAGACACCTTCGGAAGAGGCGCTGTGTCCGCGACCCAGCTTGGTCCCCACTGTGCCCCAAGACGCCGTCGAGAGGCCTCCTCCTCCTCCTCCTCATCCTCCTCTTCCCCCTCGTCCTCCTCTTTGCCTATTGGGTCCCCTATCCTCTTTCTCGCCCGCCATGGGCACACCGCAGTGGTGCAAGATGGACTGGCGGAGTGAGCGAAGCGAACTGCCTCCCCACTGGGTACAGCGCGTGAGATCAACAGCATGGTCTTCCAGGTATGCTTTTTGTAAATCCTCTCACCTGCGCGCTTTTCATACCTTCCCCTGCCTCCGAGCCCTCATAAACCGTCCGAGGGTCCTCCCCGGAACCCGCTCATTCCGCCTGCCTGGGGGCCCTGACTACGCCCCAGGGTGCTTTCTGGCCACCACTTCCGTCCAAAAAGCAATACCCCTTTCACGTGCTGGGTTTCCAGGCGCCGCCAAGTCCTCTCAGAGACTTTTCCGGGAGCCTTCTGGGCCGGTGTGGGGGACCTCCCTGGGCTCTTCTTGGTTGAACTGGACCGTCCTTCGGGCCACCTTCGGCCGTTCCGGATGCCTTTTGACCACTTTTGAAGTCCCATAGATCCACAGTTCCCAACAAACAGAACACATCGTAAATACACAATGGATGTTAACGATTCTGGCCATATCGGGTTTCTCGATCCGCCTTCACAAGGGCTCCCAACTTCGCGCCTCGCGCTGCGCGAAGCGCGAAATGCGAATCACTTCGCGCTCTCAGGCCGCCTCCCAGGGGAGAACAGGAGGACAAGGAGGAATCGGAGCCGAACCGCGAAGCGCGAATAACTTCGCGCCCTCGAGGGCGCCCTTGCTTCATTGGGGCCCCCGCGCATCTCTGCGGGTTCTTGCGGACATCTTCGAAACTGCGGATGCTCCCTGATCTGCACGAATGAAATGGGCACGGAAAGAATGGGTACAATGCCCAACAGCGGATCCGGTTTATTTTGAACAGGACTCGCTGACCGCGCCGCCGCGGCCTGTGTCCACTCGAGACAGAAGGCAGCCTGCCCAACAGCGGCCGCTTTTGGTTTGAGACAACATTTGTTGTTGGGCATTGTACCCATTCTTTCCGTACCCATTTCGGGCGTCCAAACCTGAGGCCGTCCTGACAACCTCCCGGCATCCTCCTCGGCCGGCCGGGCCTCTCTTTGGCACCTTCTTCGCCCGTCTCGGGCACCTCCCGCGAGCCCCTGGTGGCCCTCCCAAGAGCCGCTCACAAGTCAGAGTAATATGCTTCCCCTCCCCGTTTCCATCGTTCGCGCCCATCCTGGGAAAACTCCTGTGCAACATGACCAAGAGCCAAGAGGGCCCTCGAAGACCCACAACATGGCCCCGAGAGGAGACCCAAACTCCCCAACAGAGCCCCAACGAACCCAAATTCCCTCTCCAAAAAGCCGTGGGGGGGCTCAAGGCCCCGCGCGCCCCAACAGAGCCTCAGCAAACCCCAAATGTCCTCCAAAAGGCCTCAAAAATGGACCCAACAGGTCACCGCGAGGCCACCCGCGATATCCCAACGACAATCATCATGATCATCATCGCCATCAGCAGAAGCAACATCGTCCTGGCCATCATCGTCGTCATCATCATCATCATCACCACTATCATCATCATCATCATCATCATCATCATCATCATCATCATCATCATCAGCATCAGCATCAGCATCAGCATCAGCATCATCATCATCATCATCATCATCAGCATCGCCATCCTCATACTCACCCTCATCCTCATCCTCATCCCCGTCCTCATTCTCAACCTCATCATCGTTAACATGTTGTTCATCCCTCGCGAGTGCGCCCTTCGGTACCCCCTTGAACGCGAGCTGCCGAGCATGCTGGACTGGCGCGGTGGCGGGACTTGCCGCAAGCAGCTGGATAGACGCCAGAGAGGGCCCCTGCTTGCGGTTTTCAGCGGGCTCGCGTCGAGGAAAAGAGCATGAACTCAGAGAGCGCTGGCCTTTCTGGGCCCCGGAAACGGCAGGGCCGTTTGTTCACCGTTTCCAAAAGAATGTCCCTTGAAAATGGAAACGGCAAAAAAACGGCTCCAGGATTGGAACCAGAGCCGGAACCAGTCAAAAAACGGCGACGGAGCCGGTAACAAAACGGCGTCGGAAACGGCAACAAAAACGGCAAAACGGAACCGGTAGAAAAACGGCCCTGTCCACTAAGGCGCTGGCCACGCGGGGGGAGGCGAACAAACAGCGACAGCGGCGCCAAGCGGGACGCGCGCCCAGAGGCCAGCAGACCAGGCGCGCGTACCCTACGCAGAAAGACGGCACATCTGCAAAAGCAGCGACCGCGAGACGGCAGCAGCTGGCGCGAGGACAAAGCAGAGAGGAAAGGACGCAGAGCGCGAGCCAGAGGTATGTCAAGTTCCTCGGCTCGTTCTGGCCCCTCCTGGGCCAGAGATCCGACGTCGCAAACGCGCCGAAGACGCCCCAGGAGAGCTCCACGAATGCCACCAACACACCGAAGGGAGGGCCACAACAGATTCCGCCCAGAACCCACGAATGACCTCCAAGAAACGCACATGAAATTCACAAAGAAGCCTCTCCTTCAACGTGCTATCGCCAAAACGTTGGGCCCTCAAGAATGCCTGGGCCTTCACAACAATGTGGTTGTGCATGTGGGACGACATATGCAGGTATACCCAGCCGTCACGACAAGTGAAGCCGAGAGGGAACCAGACTCATACTGCGGATACGAGCGAGCTGCAGAGAATCCAAAGAGTAAGCATGCCACGAAATCCACGATCCCCAAAAAGGTGGGGCGGCGGGGTCTGCCCCCACAGGGACGTTCAATGAAATTTGGCGGGCCCTCTGCGGGTCCTCGCCGGAGGATGTGGAGGAGGAGAGGGAGAAGCATGCGTAAGGATTGCTAAGAGGGGCTTTGCGCAACTCTCCGGCCCGAAGAGGCCCGAAGAGGGCAGCAGCACTTCGTTTTTTTGTTGGAGTACGTGAAAACCAAAGTGCAGCCGGCGCTCCCAAGGCCACGGATGCCTCCATTCGGCACTGCGGCACACCCCTTGCGCATTTCCTGCCCCATATGCTCTCCTGGGACACAAGAAGATCGGAAGTTGGGGGGGTGAGATCGCAATGGAACAGAGGGCCCCCCACCGGGAAATCGGTTTCGGTTTCGTGTTCGTGTCGTGTGGGCGAGGCGAAGCTGCGCGGGCGCGCGAGAGGAATGCCCCGCCGTCGCTAGGGCGACTCGGATTCAGTGGACCGCCCCTCCGCCCCGGTTGGGCGCGCAGTGGCCTGGGGTCCCGCCGTGGTGTCCTGTGGTGTCTGGTTGGTGCCCCGTCAGTTTCCCGACGGTGTTCCGTCGGCGGTGGGCGGGCGGCGGCCGGGGGTGTCCCGCCTTGGCATCGTTAGTGAAATCGATCGTGCGATCAATGATAAGATCGCTACAGTGAGTTTGATTGCAGCATTGGTTGTGTTCGCGCTGTCGGATACGCAGGGAGGCGACCTCCCCTGGGTCGTGCAGAGCTCGCGGGGACAGGCGATGTCCCCTTGGGCGAGCACAGTGGGATCGATCGCTGAATCCATTGGTACGAAGACTTGCCGTGAGGTCGATAGTGGGATCGATCGAGTGAGATCGAAAGCGGGGACGATAGTGGCATTACATCGCAGCGCAGCATCGTCATCACGCGTCGTCGCTAACTCGAGGGCGCGCCACCACCGTCAAGATCGCGGTCTGCAATGGCACCCGCTCTCTTGCTGCGAAGCGTTTGCGGCCTTGTGCTGCTACACCTGGCTGCTCCACCTGGAAAACAACGACCTCCTCCTCCTTACATCTCTTTTCCACCACTCCTTCCCTGATTGAGACCACAGTGCGGGAGTCACGGCGGGCCCTCAGGGGCAGTTTGCACGCAGATGTTTCAATCATTGCTGTTAGGCATATTGCCTCGACGAGTGTCGGTACCAATCTTTGCAATGTTTCTTGGGGCCATCTTAGCGTCCCGTGGGGGGACGAAGCGTGTGAGGGGTGCCCCGACCTCAAGCTTTCCGAAGCCATCAGAGGGGTCAGCTGAGCGCGTGAGGGGTGCGCCCGCCTGAGAGCGCACATCATTCGTATTCTCATCTGTCCACGTAGAGCATGGGGCAGGACATGCGTGAGGGGTGTGAGCCCTTCGTGGCCTTCGAAGCGCAGATTACTCAGATGTCCATATGCCTCCGCAAAAGTGTGGAGCAGGAAATGCGTGAGGGGTGCGCCGAAACAGGGCTTTCGCAGCCCTGAGGGCACATCTGACTTGTGTTCTTCACGGATCCCAAGATCTGTCACGCGCGTGGGCCAAACAATTGTCAAGCATAGTCCAACAATCGTACCCAGACAATTTTAAGTATTTTTGAAGATTCCTCCTGTAGAGGGACATGCCCGACTTAAGCCTAGCGCTGGGGGCACGTTCTGCTCGTATGCTTACGCTTCCCCCAGAGATTTGAGGAGACCGGCCGGCGGAACACGCGCACGTTCCGCTCGTGTCTATTTCTGCGTGCGCCCATGAGAAGTGGTCTCGTCAGAGCATCTTCGAAGCATCATCGGCCGGCGGAATGGGCGAAGCCCTTCTCAGCATGCTTACGTTCAGGTCGGGCATGTCCCCCTAAAGGCGGATTTTGGACAGCAATTTAAAACTACCCCAAACAACTACTCAAACACTATTCCAAAATAGTCGAACATCGTCAAGAAATCGTCCCCACAGTATGTTTGGACTATTGTTGAATATCCCTCCTGTAGAGGGACAGGCCCGACCAAAGCTTACGCATGAGTGCTTCTCCCTCTCCTCCACCATCCTCCCTTTCATCATCTGCCCTCCGAGCCCACGGCGCGGCCAGGGCCCGCATGGGCGCATAGGGGCCCGCCGAATCGAACCCTCGGAGCGGGAGCCAAGGCGGGCCTCCAGTGGGGAAGCGTACGCGCAGATCTGTTGGCGAGCTGTGGGTTCCAGGGATCCTGCCTCGGCGAGGGTCGCTGCGGGGGGGGCGTTGAGTAAGGAATTCGCCCAGGAAGCGTCAGTCCCTGGAGGATTCCACATCTGATGAGGGCGGCGGTGATGTCCGCGGCCAATCCACGATTGGAGTTCCGCTGGCTTCCAGACCCTGGCTTTCTTATCCAATGGCTCCTCATGTCATGCCCTCACCGTACCACTCGTTGCAATGCTTCTTTAAGGCGTAGTTGCGTCCCTCTGGGGGGTTAGGCGGTCTTGGACGTCATCTGAGGGCCTTTGGGGTCCATGTAGCGCGACGTGCGTGAAGGGTGTGCCGAATGGAGGCTCTAAGGAGCCGTCTCGGGGCCCAGCTGAGTGCTCAATATTCACGAAATGCGTGAGGGGCGTGCCGAATTGAAGTTCCCATCAACACGTAAGGACTATTCCCTCGTACTGTTACGTTTTCCAAAAACCTCGAGGCCCAAATCACGTGTTGTTTCACCTGTCTTAGGAGCCTGAGAGCGCAGATCACTAGTATGTTCACGTGCCCCCGAGTTTGAAGCAGGAAATGCGTGAGGGGTGTACAGAACTGAACCTTTCGTAGCCCTCGGACCGCAGATCACTCGTACCTATACGACCACCCTTCGGGTGATAAGGAGGTTGGGAGGTGGGGTGTAAAGAACCAACTGCTGGCAAATGTGATGGGTGTCGAGCAAGTCACCCGAATGACCCCTTGCCGCGTCCCCGCCCCTACCCAATCCTGCTCTCGTGCTAACAGAAGTACCGCTGAAGAAAGAACACATCCTTGAGGCCCGTGCGTTGCCAGGGGTTTTCGCCTGGTCTCGGGCACGGGGACCATGATTAGGTCGGGCGTGTCCCCCTACAGGCGGATTTTGGACGACAAATTTTCAATAGTAAAGAAATACCTAACAAATGCTCAACCATACTCAAAACATTGTCCCCCGACTTTTTTGGGGAGTATTTTTGAATATCCCCCCTGTAGAGGGACAGGCCCAGCATAAGACCATGACAGATCGATCCTCCAGCCCGAAAAGCGCAGCAGACAGATGGGGTCTGGGGCTGTGGTCGTGATTCTCTGCGATGTGGCCGCCTTTTCATTCATTGTTTTGCCGATCGGCGCGGGCCCTTGCACCCCCCCATGGAGCAGATCGGGGCTGTTTTTGGCGCCCGTTTCGAGAAGGTGGGTGGAGCCTCCCCCATGGGACGCACTGCTACAAACAGTCGCGCTGAGCAGAGGTCCAGAGCCAGACCCCCTTCCATTCCCCCCCCCCGCTTCCCCCCCCGTATTCGGCGATTCGACATTGGGGGGAAAATTTCCCCCCGATGTCGAAACGCCGAATCAGAAAACGCTCACTCTGGGTTCTTCTGACCCGACTCAATCCAGACCCGGGTCAGTCAGGCCCTGCAGAATCCTGCAAGATCCTGCGCCCGAGCCCGGGTCAATGCGATCTTGCCCCTGCAGGACCCTGCAGGATCGGGCGCTCTGGCCGACCCCCGTCTCGAGGCTCCCGATCCACGCGAGGCGTTCGACCTCCGGGGCACGGGGCGCTGCTGGCCAGGGCGAGCCTCGGCCACGACTGGGCTCCCCGCCATTGTTCCTTGCCGGCGCGGGAAGCGGGATGCCGATTGTTGAGCAGGGGCCGACCGTCCCGGCATTCCTACAGTCCTACCACGAAATGTTCTTAGAACCCCAAAAATGTGCTAATAACAACAAACATGTTCTTGAACATAGACCCGATGTGAGAAAACAAGACAGACTCCGCCAGAAATGTTCTAAGAATATTTCCTGGAAGCCACAAGAGGTTCTTAGAACATTGCTTGGTAGGGCTATAGGCGAGCCAGGACGCTTCGCCACTGCCTGAGACTGTCTGGCACGCGTGCGCTTGGCACGAAACACCTGGACAGCTCCGGACCTGCGAGCGGGGGCCGGAGAGGGAAGGTGAACACAAGGGGTGTGGCACTGCCGCTCCTGGCCGCTCTCGCGGAGCCATGGGCGGCGGAAGCACGACTGACCAGGGCGCCCTGCCACGGGGGGGGGGCGCGGGAGGAGGAGGAGGAGGAGGAGGAGGAGGAGGAGGAGGAGGAGGAGGAGGAGGAGGAGGAGGAGGAACGGCCCCGAAGCCGAGAGCCCCTCCTGAGCACCACGTGGCTCTGACAGTAGGAGCTCGACCACACGAAGCCTTCCACATGAAACCCAACCCTGAGACCCCCTGACGTCCATTGATTTTCGGTGTGGGAGCGTCACGCTTTCCATCGGAAAACAATCGAAACCCAAAAACCGACGGCACCCTGGAGGCAAGCCGGGTGTTTCTTGGCATGGGCTTCCACTGTATTTCAGCCTCTTGATAAGACGAAGCCAGGACGAGGAGAAGCTCACGTGAGGACGTACCGAGCACCTCTGAGATCCGGCGGCTCTGGAAGACGGATGGAGCGCCGCGGTTCTCTCAGAGCGCTCCAGAACGCTCTGAGACCACACGAAGCCTCCCGCGCGAAACCCGACCCCGAGACCCCCTGAGACGTCCCGAGTGCTGGCGCCATGGGCGTTGCTTAATGGGGGGGTCACAAATGGGGGGGTCAGAAACGGTCCCCTTTCGTGCCCCTTTCGGGCCCCTCCAGAGCCTCAAGGGGCTCGTTTAGGTACCATTTGGGTACCTTTTCGGACCACCCTCGCCACCCCCCCATTTATGACCCCCCCATTACGCACCGCCCAAGGCGTCATGGGCAGGCCGGGTGCCGGGCGCGGGGGCCTCCTGCCCGGCCAGCCGGCTGATCAGGTCCGCGGCGGCGGCGAGGCCCCCGCTCGGCCGCGCCGGCGCGGCGCGGGGCCGCCGCGGCACGGCGGCGCCTCGGCGGGGCTGCTCGGCGGCCGACTGCGGCCCCCGAGGGCCCACGTGGGCAAGCGCCTCGGCTCAAGTCGGGCGTGTCCCCCTACAGGGGGATTTTGGATGAAAAATAAAACATATCCAACAAATATTCCAAAATGGTTGCAAAATGCGCAAAAAATAGTCCCCATACGATTTTAAAACTATTTTTGGAATATCCCCCCTGTAGAGGGACAAACCCGACTTAACGCTCGGCTCATCCCCAGTCCCGCCGGCGTGGCCGTCGCCCCGCCGGCTGGCTCAAAACCACCTTAGAGGGGGGATGCGTGATCCGGCGTCGAGGGTTCGCAGCCCCGCCCCTCCCAGATGAGATGGGATGGGTCCCAGGGTTCCACCGCTCCCCACCAGATGGGATAGGGGACGACGACGACGATAGCGACGACGACGACGACGCAGATGCCGACGACGCAGACGCCGACGCCGACTGCCGACGCCACCGCCGACGACGACGACGACGCATACGCCGACGACGCAAACACCAAAGCAGACGCCGACGCAGGCGCCGTCGACGACGACGATGGCGACATAGGCGACGGCGACGACGCCGGCGGCAACGACGACGCCCGTGCCGCCGTCGACGCTGATGCCGGCGCCGATGACGACGACGACGACGACCACGGCGACGGCAACGGCAACGGCGACGACGGCGGCGACGATGACGACGACTCCGACGCCGACGCCGACGCCGGCGCCGACGCTGACGGAAGACGACGCCGACAGCAACGACGGCGGCGGCGACGACGGCGACGCGACGCCGCCGGCGCCGACGCCGACGCCGACGACGCCGACTCCGACGGCAGACGACGACGACGACGATTCCGACGGAGGACGACAACGGCGAACCACCCCGCACCTGCAGGGGGGGAGACCACCGACACCCTCATTGCGGCGGCGACTGCGACGAAAGCTAAGGGCTGGCTGGTGCATTTCAGCTGCCGCGCTGGCTCGCGCACGCTCGCGGGCGCAGCGGCCAGCTATTCGAACGCAGCCGACACGGCCGCGGTGGCGCTGACAGTTCACTGCGACTCGGCGATTTGGGTGGGCGCGGTATCATGGCAACGTCGACAACGGTAGACACTATGATGGACGTGGCGATGCTGGCGACGGTGAAGCAACGACGGCGGCAAGGCCCGTGACGGGGCCAATGCTGATCACGCCGACGACGATGGCGGCGTCCTCGCATCGGTGATGAAGGTTTTGGAAGGAGTTCGACATGCGAGCGCGGCCGACGCGCGACTGGCCAGCATGGTACTACTTGACACGGACCGTGCCCCCCCCTGGCACGCGCGCAAAGGCGTTCGAATGATTTGGACCTACGTCGCGAAAAGCCCGTTTGGTAAACATAAGCGACAATGCAGGGCAAATCAACATGGTTCCCAGATGAGGAGTGCGAGCGCAGGCATTTGTGGAAACTGTTGTTATATGTCTTCTCAGGACATTCAAGTTTAGATCCATACGAAACTTGGGAATATCAAGGATTTCCGCATGCGTGCGCGACGACGCGCGCGTGCGCGTTTCGTCTCTTTTTGCGCAAAGGGACTCTTGCGACAGCACGCACACAAGGGCGTTGTCGAAGAAGTTCGACATGCGCGCGCGAGAAGCACGCTTAGTGGCATTTGATGAAATTTAGAGGAACGCATTGTTTTCTTAAAAACAGCAGAAGCGCGAACGCAGGTTTTGATGTGAAAAACTTAGTTGGGAAACGATGTGTTTGTATATGTGTTCGGGAAAATCGATTGTGATTTCGGGCATGCGCGCGCGACGACGCGCGTGTGCACTTCATCCCATATGTTGCAAAGGATTCTTGGGAACAGCAAACTTATTCGAAACGAATGTGCGCACATGGCTTGTGTTGCAAAGGCCGAGGGAGGCCGAGATGGAACGACCTTATATTTAGAATGGGCAATGGGGCAGACCCGTGTACAAATTGCAATAGAACAAAGTGCCGTTAAATCGGGGGGTACGCTCTAATACGCACTCCTTTAAAAACGAGAATCTCTGTAGTGGCACCCGCCCAACCGAACTTGAAGTCGTCACCTCCACTGCTCGTGCAAACATTCCACCCACCAGCCCGCAACTTGGTTTGCAAAACCCATGCGACGGCGATGGCGACGATTGCTTGGCGGTGGCTGGTGCATCTGTGCGGCCGCGCTGGCCCGCACATGCTCGCGCGCGCAGCGACCAGCTAGTAGAGCGCGACCGACGCGGCCGCGGTGGCGCTGACCGGTGGGCACTTCCATCGGGCACTTCAGTGCGAATCGGTGACGTGGGCGGACGCAGTATCATGGCAACGCCGGCAACGGTAGACACGATGATGGGCGTAGCGATGATGGGACGATGGTGGCGATGACGACGGCAAGGCCAATGACGGCTCCGAGGTTGACCACGCCCGACGATAACGATGACGGTGTCCTGCTGTCGGCGATGGGGGCTTTGGAACGAGTTCGACATGCGCGCGCGGCCGACGCGCGTGGAATTATTTGACACGGCTCGTGCCCCCCAGCACACGCGCGCAATGGGGTTCGGGTCAGTTCGACATGCGGCGCGGGAGGTCCGCTGTGCAGAATTCGCCAGATCTCGCGCGCAGGCATGTTTTGAAAACTGATGTTGTAATTCCATGTTTTTTTTTATGTTTTCGGGACCCTCGTTTTGGAACTCCTCACGGAGCTGAAGATTTTCAGCGGATTTCCGCATGCGCCGCGCGCGATGACGCTCTCGCGCGCACTGCGTCCCATTTGTTGCAAGGGGTTCTTGCGACAGCACGCGCGCAAGGGCGTACGAGCGATTTCGACAGGCGCGCGCGAGAGGCCCGCTTGGTAGCATTATGTGACAATGTTGAAAAACATATGGATTGCTTAAGAATTTGCAAAGAACGCTGGCTGTTTTTGAAAATCATTGTTGCGACACCATGAACATATATTTTGGGACGCAGGATTCCTTGGGAAAGCTACTGTATAGGAAAAACCTCAACACTAAGTGGGCCGCGCGAGACGTGATTCAAGGGAACACCTGGGAAGACCTAAGACACGGTGTCGGAGGACTCGGGCTGGCCTGACGGGAAATGACGAGACGCCCGTCTGAAATTTGACGCGAATTATCGCTGCAAACATCCCACGAGAACTGCACCGTCAAAATCCAGGATGAGCTCGTCAACGAACGTCGGCAACCCAAATTCTGGAATACTCGAGTCTTCCGTTCCCTTTGTGGGCCCCGGAAACGGCAAGGCTGTTTTTTTCACCGTTTCCAGAAAAATGTCCCTTGAAAATGGAAACGGCAAAAAAAACGGCGACCCGGCAACAAAAACGGCTCCAGGATTGGGACCGGAGCCGGAACTGGTCAAAAAACGGCAACGGAACCGGTTAAAAAACGGCGTCTGAACCGGCAAAACGGGACCGGTAAAAAAAAAACGCCCTGTCGTTTCTAGGGCCCACTAAGTCCGTTCCCCCAAAACGATCAACCACATACACCAGCTACGGCAGACCTGGTTTAGTGACTCTGGCCAATGTATGGTCCCTGGGGCCCTACTACCAGGTCCCCTTGCCCGGGGTCCTGGCGATGCCCGGCCAAAAAAAACAGCAGCCACAGAATGAACGCCAACAACTCCGAGGTCCGCGCGCATTCCTCGGATCGGCGTGCCGGGCCCCACGTCGGCGCCCCCCTCGCCGCCCCTGGCGCGCTCCGCGCGCCAGGGAGAGGGTCCAGGGCCAATCCGAGGAGACCCCGCAGACCTCTGAGATCTGATCTTTCCGTCGTGGTGTTTTCCGCATCGACGCTCGGCACGCCCGCAGTGTAGTTCACGTTCTGAGCGGCTCTGGTCCTCTCTTTGCCTCCCCTCTCCCCGTGCCCAATTGGCTCCCATCAAACTCTGCCAGTTGCCCGCACCTGATCAGGCTCGCCTGCGCCCGCTGACTCTAAAAGACCCCACGTGGCGGCGCGCACAATGTCAGGGGGAGGGAGGGGAGGCTTCTCAGAAAGATGCTGCTTCTTAGAGGGCGCGGGCTTTACATCCACAGAGAAGGCCCGCGCCTTCTAGAAAGCAGGGGTGCTTCTAAGAAGCCTTCCCCCTCCCCCTACCCACCTTTTGCGCGTGGCTGACATGACTGGAATCGTAGCGTTGTGGATGCCATGACAACAGGAGCTCTAGCAAATCGATGATTGAGTAACAAATGTCCTCAATATGGCTTCTGAATGTTTTGCACATGTTCGAAACATATCTGTAACATGCTTTGCGACTCCAGAAACATGTCTAAAACATGTTTGTTCTAGACATCTGGAAGCAATTCGGCAATATGCCTCCTCTCCACTGGTCGTCTTACATAGTCGTAGCGCGTCTCGAGCCGGGGACGCCGCGGAGGCCCCCGGGGGACCTCAAAGGGGGTCCGCGCCGCAGCGGCGAGCCGGGGGCCGCCGGGGAGGGACGAGGCGGAGGCCGCTCGCGGGGAAGCGGGCGAAGCGAAGGCGAGCAGCCAGGGAGCGAGGGCGAGGAGCAGCCGGGGGACGAGAGAGAACATGGATGTAGTGTATGACAGATAGTGATATACACACATCCATCCATCCATGCATACATGCATGCATACATTCACACACGTACATACATACATACAAACATACAAACATACAGACAGAAACACATACATACATACATACATACATACATACATACAAACACACACACATACATACATACATACATACATGCATACATACATGCATGCATACCTGCATGCATACCTAGATACATACATACATACATACATACATACATACATACATACATACGTACTTCCTTAATTACATGCATACATACATACATGTATGCATGCATGCATGCATCCATACTTACATACATACATACATACACACATACGTACATACATACATACGTGCAATCATACATACGTGCAATCATACATACACGCGTATTCACGTACATGCATACATACAGGCGTACGTACATACGTGC